ACTCCCCATACCATTAAAATCAGTAGCAATGGCAGATGATGGTGTTTCTCGCCGAAGGTGTTTCAAGTGTTACAGAATTATTTATCATCACTTAATGAAAGTATCCACACTTGTGATGGTTTGCTTCAGGATTTTCGGAAAGTGATTACAAACAGTTCCAGACAAAACATTGTGGCATTGCCTTCCCCCCCTGAAAAATCAATTTGAGTTGAAATTTCAAAATTATCTATTTTGAAAAAATCACATGTATTTAGTAAAAAAAAAAAGATGACATCACCAAATTTGGTGATTTTATTTTGCTGTTTCCAAACGAAAGCATTAATATTTACTGGTATAAAAGGTTGTTTTGCCTTTAAATTGACTTTAATATTAGTTGTTGCTCAGTTTATTATTTTGTTTTTGTAACTGTGTTTGTGAGCAGAGAGCAGAGGATTCTACCTGAGTTTTTTTTTTGGTATAATAAAGATGAACTGGACAGTCAGAATAATTAGATATAAGGAGCAGATGTGCTACTAATTAATTAGGGCCAATTCATTAATATTAATGAATTGAAAACTTGAAGAAAATAAAAACATTTCAATAGTTCTTTTCTAAATGAACGTATATTTGTTTGAAAAGAGAGACTGAAAACAGCAGCCAGGAGAAGAGAACAGCGAAGCTTATTAGTAAAGATTTTTTGTGTGTTTGCAAAAACAAACAAAAAACCCAAATCAAACCCAAAGCTTTTATTTAAAGACAGAATTAAAAAATAAGTTAATAGTTTTCTTAGAGAGATGAGAGTTTATATAGGTCAATATACTGAGATGGAACAGCGAAATGGGTATCTTTTACTGTCAGAAGATCAAGTCAGAAACATGCCTAGAAGAGTTTGTAACTTTTTTCCAGTTGGTTGAAAAGCATTTCGGTAAAACAGCAGAGAACACAGAGGCAGGTAGAGAACAGCACTGGCCTTCATGGCAGACGTGTGAGAAAGGTCTGTGAGAATTGCACTGCTCACTTACTGGTCTTAGAGAAGAAATATCTCAGCTTGGGGTAAGCAAAACATACAAACAAGCAGGCTCTAAAAATGCGTGGGACATGCAAAATGCACCAGAGTGACTGAAGTACAAGCACACAAAAATCCTGCTTAGTCTTGAGCTGTTTCTCCCAGTTAATTTCTTAGGTTACTGTACAGGACTAATTACTTGCATTTGTTTTTGTTTGTTTGTTTGTTTTTTCCTTGTACTAACTTAGTAAATGTTGTGACAATTTTCATGTTCTGAAATTAAAAACTGAGGAAGCAGAAATGACAGTCACGTTTTATCTTGTATTTTGAGATTTGTTTTGCTCTGCCATCTAACTGCACTTTGGCTTTGTTTTGGCTAAAACATTTTCCATGTGTGAAAATATCCACAGACACTCCAGTAAGATGCTGTTCTTCAGAAACTTGCATTGAGTTGGCATGTCCTGGCTGGAAAACAGACATTGGTCAGCCCATACTCTACCATGTGTACCTGTGCACAAGCCATGGATAATCAACTGATAATGGGTGCTGACCAGAAAATCATGTCCCTGCTCTACCACAAGCTCTCTGTGACCTTGGCAATGTCACTTATTCCAATTATGGCATCATCTCATTGTTAAAATACATTTAGCAACCTGTCTGTCTTTGAAAGCAGGTAAACAGTGACCCAGAGCAGAAACCTTCCTGTTTCAATTCAGCATTCTTATTTCTCTTGCTTACATGCAGTAGCCCCATTCCATACTCCGTGAGAAATCTTACCTGGTTTTGCTTTTCTTTGTACAAGAATATGTGAAAAAATTTAAATTTCTGTTGCCTTGGGTGGGTTTCACCCACAAACACTGGAAGCCATGCCTGTTTCATTCAGGTGTCTGAATTAAAATCAAAATTTAGAGACCAGATTTGAAAGCTTGGCCTTAGAAAAAGCCACTCTCCAATAAAAATAAAGGAATTCAGGGAAAAACCCAAACTGTGTTCAGATTTGCATGGATTGTAAAGCTCACGTGCAGGGGTACTTGATGATGGTAAAATAAAACACGTTTCAGAAAACACCCTTTAAAGGTTGTGCACGAGTACATGTGGTATTTGGGATCATGTGAGTGTACACACCAGCATTTTTTTTGTTAATGAGGGAGAAGACTTGAAGTCCATAATTTTAGAAGATCACAGGAGCTGTAAGAATGCAAGAGCAATTCAAGTCTTCTAAATCTTAAAAGAGCTGAGTTTCTATGATATTAGATCAAACAAAAAAAATCTATGTTAAGAACATTTTTATGACAATGATTCACTCGAATAAACTTAAGATTTCTTTTACCGACCAATCTTTTTTTTTTTTTCTAAAATAGTATTTAATATCTGAAGTTATAAAAAATATTTGTAGCCTTGAAAATTATTTTTATTGTCTATTTTATGTACTGTACATGCCTCTTTCAGGAATTATTAAAGAAGCATGAGTCATACGGCACTCATTTACCCTTGGCTCGTGGCCATCCTCAATATATATTTTGCTATTTTCAAACCATTTGCAGGTACATAGGCATGAAAATATTGTTGTGTCAAGTCCCAGGCTCACAGTTAGCACAGCATACATCGTTCATCGAGATAGTTACAAAGTTTCAAAGCACATAAAATTGTGCATTATTGTGTGGCAAAGTTTAAACTTTAACATACGCTTGGTTGCATATATAGCAACAAGTGACAATGAAAATCTGAACAAAGACAACCAATAAACAGCCAAATTGCTATGTACAAACAAGGCAGGAAGCAATTAAACACTGCCTCGCACATTTCACTTAAATTACTTTTTCTCTGAGGGGGAAAAACAAACACCCCCCCGCCTTCCCCTCCCCCAAGTCCCCAGTAACACTATTAATGGAACTCCCGTTGCATTCAGTAGGGGATTCATTTGCATAACATGGGAGAGGGGTTTGATCCCTGTTACGAGGAGGAGCAGCGTTTTATGCAGGGTGGGCTTCCCCCACTGGTAACGCAGCAGTGTGCTGGGCTCGCTCTCCCAGTCCGGACCCAGCAGTCCCTGTGACCTCCAGGGCAATATTCCATGAGATAAAACCCTTTTATCTTCCCTACAGGTATCATATTTTACAGCAGCATAAATGTGCTGTTCTCACGGTGACTCCACTGGTGCGAGTGCTCAGCTGACACCGAGCCAGCCCTGTGGGTGAGTCTGGATGTGTTACCTGTAAGTGGGAACACCTAACCCAGCTTGGGTGGAACTACTCTGGATCTACACTGATGCGAAAGAACATGCAGTGAGGTCCAAGGACAGCAGGATTGGGCCCAAACAGACCTTTATAAAACGCATAAAGTCTGTGCTTTTAGCTTAAAATCTGCTTAATAAATTACTACGGTTCACAGTAATAAGGTAGATTAGTGCTACACCAATCCTTTCCTCAAGGTCAGTTCCACGCAGCTTTTCCAAGAAAGAAAATTAAAATAACAATGAACTTAAAAAAATCGGTTGTTATTATTTGACAAGCCCAAAAGGAGGTTTTCTGTAGCCTAGTGACAGCCAAGCTTAGTAAGACATCGCCCTGTTATGTGATAACTAGTTTAAAGGCTAAACCTTGCCCAAGGTGCTGTGGTGTGAAAAGGCTGAGGAAGGTGTTCCAGCTTGGCTCTTATTCACCCCAGAATTCCAGCCCAAGAACCAGCTGGCTGGGTCAGAGCTCACAGACACCAGGAGCGAGGAGAGGTGATCTCTGAGCTGGTGGGATCTGTACGGGGTCCAGCAATGATGGGGCTGCTCCAGAGCCTGATCAGACCAACAAAACAACTCCTGATGGCTTTGCAGTCTCTTCCTCAGCTGTTGGGAGACTGTGGGGGTGCCTGCACCAGGGAAGGAGAGTGGGTGGGTGGGTGACCAGTCCGTGCTGCCAGGGTACAACGTGCAGCCCACCTCGGGGAACGCTGCCCTTGCATTTTGCAAAGAATATACAGGGCCAACAGCTCTGCCTCTCACTTCTGGGCATGATTTAGCCTCGTGAATTATACTTTGTGGAGTCAGAAGATGAATTATACTTACAAATAAAGTATTCTAGTTATTTAATGTTTTTCTGTAGTGGAAAAATGAGACACCCAACCTGATGAAATCTGTGTTGTCTGAAAATTCAAGGCCTGTTTCCTAAAAATGCTTTTTGCTGATGGCAAAGTTCAACACCTCAGAGAAATTCAGAGTAAGTTTCCAAGCTGTATATCTTACTTTCAGGTACACTGTACCCTTGTTGTTTGTAAGGCTGTATTGACGTTTTACATAACAGTCATGAGCCATGCATTCAATCACCCTGGAAGAGTTGACCAGCAACTTAATGCATTTCTTTATACCACAGAGAATTTGAAGATGCGCTGTCTCTCTCCAAAACACTTTAGATTTTCAGGATAAAATATTCTCTCTTTCCTCTCCCCCTTTATTGTCTATATTTAAAACCATTATTTTATAGAATTCTCTGTGTCTTACTGTGTAGAAAATCCAATTGTTAATTAGTATTTAAAGCAGGATTCTTCTGAATTGCTGTGGTTGCTTGTGAAATGTGTGTGATCTTCCTAAGAGAACTGCACAACTATTATGATCAGTATTATGGCAGTACTTGAAAGGCATTGCTATCTACTATTTATTTATCTCGGGGTGTTCATTACTGTTCTTTTAACAAGACTCAGAATAGGTAGGGATAGCAATTCTGAACAAAGAACACGTTTATAACCAGAAGTATTTAAACCCAGAACTATTAATTACTATTTTGACTATTAAAGTATGTTGAATAACCTCAATCTGGAGGTTACAGGACTGAGGGAAGCATGTCCCATTGGGCATCACCTAAACTCTCCTTCCACACAGGAGGGTTAAAATTAAGACAGGGTAGAATATGGCTGGCATTGCACTCCCAAATTCCATCTCAGCACTGAAGATTACGATGAAGTCAAGGTTTTCCTACCAGTAAAGAATCTGGTCTTTATTTGCTACATGGCTGCTTCTGCTAACAGATTTTTCCATCCTTATCTCACCGGCAGCGCGTGCCTGTCTGCTGAAGATTTTGCTACTTCTTGCCCTCGCTGTTCCTGATGATCCAGAGCAAAGTGAGGTGGGTTTATTTTAGAAATATCTTGTTTTATCTTGTCACTTCCTGCAAAAATATATGGCCTCAGTGCATTGTTATTTTTATTCTCCAACAGACAGTTTTATGGCAGTTTTACTTGGAGGTGAGACAGATTAGGGGAGGGGTGGGGCACTAGAAAACGGTGTAAATTATTTTGGCTCTGCATATGAGCATCACATTGTTTGTCTCCCTGGTGCAAAGCCTTCTGCTAATGAACAGAATCTAAAGCAACCAGCTGCGAGTGCCTTCGGTGACAGTCAGCCATCTCAGCTTGGCTCTGGAGGGTGAGTCAGGCTTTCCCCAGTCCCAGCTCCACACAATGGGTGTCCTTTTAACTGCAAACGGGCACTGACGCTTCTGCTCCCCCCGTGTGCTCTCACCCACAGGAATTTTCAGTGTGGGTCTCATCCAAACCCTGTGGGAGTGAATGGAAGTCTTTCCATCCTCACTGGGCTTTGGATCAGGTAATGAATGAATATTTTTGGTGCAAAAAAGTTAACTTCCCGCTCCCAAAAAGAGAAGTTACAAATGCAAATCCCTTGTGAGAAAGTTTTTTTGCCTTTCCTATCACTGCAAAGACTCTTCTTGGCTTCCACACACTGACCAAGCATAAAATAGTGAATAACATTTATTTTTGAATTTATGGATTGAGTTCACAGGGATTTTAATAGCACTGGGGTTATGGAAGTGCTATTTTAATAAGGACCACAGATCATGGGCCCAAATCCTTACCTTTACCTCAAGGACTTGTAAACTCAACTATTTAACTCAAATCTCTTTATTGGGGGCCTTAGAATGTATCCACCTGGAGGCTGGAAAACCGAAAGGTAGAAGGCTGCGCAAACACGGAGTGAGGGAATTTAACCAGCAGGAATGTGGCCTATAAAATTAAACTTCAAGAACTGTTTAAGAAAAATTAAAGCTTGTGCAACAGCTGGGGTTTCTCTCCACATTAGTTCGTTTCTTAGTGACTCCAGTGTTATGGTTCTCATTAATGTAGATTTCATTTTTGAGATCATCTTCTGTAGTTCTTGAAGTCTTACTGTGCTTGTAAAGGACAAAATCCTGACTCACTGTAATCTGCCATTAAACAATATAGGAGGAAAAGTCACCACCTCCCACCCTCCTTATGATATGAACATTTGTTTGGGGCCCAAAGATAAAATCTTAGATTCAAACTGCACCCCAAATTTCCCTAACCTGAATTGCCAGAATATCCCAATTTCAGACGTGGTGATCAAATTACAATGAATATTCAGGAACAAAAATAGGGGCATTTGTTTCCAGTGGGTGTTGTGACAGTGATTCCAACATAATGAAATGTGTGGTGGCAGAAGAAAAGATAAACTTTGCTTCATTCTCATACAGACCCTGCATATTTTCCCTCCAGAACCTGCCCTCATTCTGCGCTTGGCCTCAAAGGTTCACCTCCTAAGGTTTTAAAATAACTTGCTACATAAATGATTTGAAATCTAAGCTCCTGAAAAAAACCCCATTGTGCTAATTATGTCAGGCTCTGACAACATCAGAGATGGTGTTGGCTGCATTTCGTAGATATTGAAAGAATTTTCATTTCTTTGAATGCCTAGAAACTCTGGGTTATTTGTGTTACTAGACCAGTTAGCACTCCAGTTATATCCAACCTAAATCCACTTGACAAGACTGAGAAGTAGAAAAATTTACAAGAAACAGCAGAAAACAGGTAAATAGAAGTTTAGGACACAGCCCTAATATGAGGACACCAAGTTTCTGCTAACTCGCAGGCAGAACCACTCATGCTTAAAATTTTGCATGCTCAGAGAAACATGGACATCAAGAGACCTGCTGTTACTGGGTTTGCAGCCACAGATTGTTCTGTTATGTGGTGATTGTTACGACTCTTCCTGCCAACCTGCAGATGCCAATGATAATAATAATAATAATAATGCTCACATCCTGACAGATGATGCCTCTGTGAGACCAGAAACCTGGTGAGGAAGTCAAAGGATCAGGATTCTTCTGGGTGGCGTGAGTTGCCGTTTCAGGAGCTGGATTTTTTACCAGTGGTTTTGCAAGTATGGCCTTATGTGCATAATGCTCTTATCTCATGGGAAGCCATGCAGGATTCTGGGGCTAAAGGGTGCTGCTGAAGACTTCTGGGACAGCAGAAACCGGCTGCTCATCTGGACCCGTGGTCTGTTGCATAGCATTGTGCACATCTGCGTGTCCTACAGACCGTGTGCTCACTGCCCAGGGCTTGCCCTCCTCGTGCACAAATGTCGTTTCATAAGGCTCCACGTGTATCCTGTGGACATTCTGCCTTGGTTCCTCGTACTTGCCTTGCTCACCTTCTGGAAGGCTGGACGCATGAGGTACGAAAGTGCTCCGAGACCCATCGGGGGGAGTCTTTAACTGCTCGCCGGAGGTAGGTTCTTGGGACAAATCTGGAGACCTCATGAGATGCTGAGTGTAGACCCCCTCAGACAGGGAGCCCGCCTGTGTCTCGCTGTACACGCGCAGCCAGCGGTGCTGCCGGCCGAAGTAGTTGTAATGCTGGTGCTTCCCGAGCTTTTTTTTCCCCAAGAAGCCCAGCGGCTGCTTGGAGCTGGAGGACTTGTCTGTGCTCTTCTCTGTGAGCCCCGCCACGGTCAGACTGCTCATGGACTCCGTGCAACACTCGGCGTGAGGATCGAAGGCATCGCGCTCCGTCGGGCCCCCCTGGACTGCCAGGCAGGGCTTCATGTCGTGGGCTTGGAGGACGTCGGGAGCGCTGCCTCCCAGGCCACTGCCGGCCTGCTGGGAGATGTCCTGGGACGAGGAGTAAATCAGGTCCAGTTCCCTGGGGCTCAGCGCGTCGCTGGAGTCGTAGTCGCTGTCGGTTGGGAGGAACACTTCGGAGCAGCCTTCCTCGTCTGAGCAGGGCTGGGAGTCTGCAAGGACAACTCGTTAGCACTGAGGACAGGCAGGGGAGAGAAGCTGCTGAACTGTTGTTTATGGGGGGTTTTTTTTGGCCTAATTTAGAATCAAAGCTGCAATTCTGAAAATGTGTGTGTGTTGCCTCTGTGGAATTGCTGTGGGCTGAGATGACAGCAAAGACAGTAGTCAGGGAGCATTTATCAGGGAGGATTTATCAGGGAGGATTTACAGATGTGTTATAGTGGTGCTGGTAGAATTAGGAAGAGCAGAAAGGTTTAATTTATATTAAGTGCAGGGAAAAAAAAAGTGAATTGGAATTGGGACTAATTTCTGAAAGGATCTGTTTTATTTTTTCTTGCTTTCACTAAATTTCATAGAGATGGAGATTTGGGAGAGTGAAAATCTCTAATCCAGGTTGTTTTTATTAAAGATATCAGTTGAGTTATCTGGATTTATACCTGTGTAATTGTGAGCAGGGTGTGACTGCATGTTTGGTGAGAGACTTGAGGCACAACGTGGAGGTTCATGAACAAGTCCACCCTTTTGCCCATCAAGTGCATGATGTGTGTTCAAATCCAAAGCAGACACACATAGTTCACCTGTGAATTTGTGGAGCAAATCTCACACTGGCACTGAAATCACCTGCTGTCTTTTGGCTTCAGGAGGATCAATAATGTAATAAATAGTGGCACATGTGATAGAATGGATTGATATTCCTTTGTCCTGGATAGTTTATATTAGATCGAAGGAATAAAACATAGATTTTATATTGACTGTTCCCTTGGAGCTGGTGTAAATTGCCACACAGCCCAGTAATAATGAATCCAGCACATGCAGGACAAGATAATACTCCAGTTTGCATGGTGCCAGAGCTGAGGATTATTCTGCATTCATGGTCTGTAATACAGGGGAAAAACAGCTCAGGGAGGGGTAGTGAGAATGAACACCGCTGTGTAATGGAGCAGATCAAAGCAGCAGCCTCTTCACATTTCTTTTCTTTTAACCTAATGAAGTCTAATCAGAATAGATTCATTTTTCTTAACTGTATAAAACTGCCAATTTGAAAAAAAAAAAATTATGATTACCGAAATAGTCATGGCAGTTGTTTAATGCAGCTTCTGTTGCTTTTGTTTCTGCTGTTTCATTTACTTGTTACTTAAAGCCAGCTCAGCACAATGATTTTCTTTTTTTTTTTCTCCAAAGTCCTAATTCTGTTAGCAAAATGGGTGTTACTGTTTTATTTGCTTCATCTTTATTTGTTGTGATCCCTTTCTTTCATCAGTTTAATTTTCTGGCTATGCAGAGAAGCAATAATGGTCGATGAGGTGGGTACTTCATCTGTAATTCTGTGTTTTAAAATGCTTGTCTAAACCACTGAGAACACTGAGGTGTGTGAAAACAGCTGTTAAATTTGACTATTGGCACTAAAATTTGCTCTATCAAAACAAAACAAGAGGGGCATAAGAAAGAATTGCTGCAAAGCAGAGGAACAGTCAAAGTCTGTTGGCTGTAATATCAGAGAAACGGAAGGTGGCAAATGGAAACTACGGAAAAATCTGAGATTCTGTCAAATTATTAGAAACTGTGGGGAAGAATAATATATACATGAGTGATGAGAAAGGGTCAATAGCTTTGCTTAGCAACTCATGTCTCATCAGAGCTCTGAAGAGCTTTTGACAAGGTTCTTTACCACAGGTTCTGCAGCAAAGAGAAAGCTCCCTGCATATAATAATAGCAGATTTCTGGGGTAGGCAACAAATGAAGCAGTCAGCTTTCACCATGGGTGGATTTTGCTGGAATTCTGGACATGGGGGAGAAGCCAGTGGTAGCCCTTGTCTGTTCCAACCTGTTCATTAAATGATCTGGAACGGTGAGTGGCAAAGTTGGCTCGTGATGAGCAGTTATTCTGAGTAGTTGAAAGCAAAAAATGATTGCAGAGATTGTTCAAGGATCTCAGGATACTGAGTGGCAAATAATTGGTGAAATGATTGTTAAAATACCTTGGCAGGTATGGGAAAAAAATGACTCCTTTTATAAAAAGACATACAAGAACTGTTATATTAAAAGTGAGTTCAAAGATTGCACTTGGTAAACACCAGAAAAATTCTCTTACCACTCACAGCTTTTCTCCTCTGGATTCTGGCCTCAGGGGAAGGGGGAGGTGAAGGAAGACAGTCTAGATGTGAAGAGGTGGAGCTCATTTTCTTTTGAGGGTGTTCTTCTGAAAGATCCACAAGCTTCCTTATGGGCAGGCCAGCTGCTGGCTGCTTGTACCTTGCATACTGCAGTGCTTCTGTGATCCACCTCATCTCCCTCCAGATCTCATCGATTTGCTGTGGGGAAAAAATGGTGAAAAAATACAGTTGAGTATTAATTCTGCCTAAGTGTGTACTTTCTTCAAGTGCCCAAGTAGGTGTGTAGTCACTGCCCACAGAGAGCAGCAGGATCCCCTGACAGGACACTTCAAGCTGAGGTGGTCTGAAGTGATTTTGATTAAGTGCTTGCTCTCCATCACCACTGCAGGGGCCACCAGACTCTCAAATTATGCACCTCAGGGCTAAAATCTGACATAGGAAGAAAATGAAAATTGTCTTTTGATCAATTTGTAGCACACTTGAAAGTTGCTTTCATTCTGTACTGGAATGAAAGTGAGACTTCACTGTTGCAAACCCCGGAGTGATCAAAACCAGCTCAATTCAAACCTGGTTTTTAGCAGACAAAGAACATACACAGGTGTGGAAGAATATACCTGCACGGAGGGCTGAAGCACAGCCACGAGTCAAACTGCAGGTTTCTCCCTTATCATCATTTTGGTCTGCATACATTTTAAAAGTATAAATCTACACAAAACCGGTTCTAGCCCACGCCTGAGAGATAATAAGAGACAAGTGCCTAAATCAATAGCAGGATGGAGCTTTAAGCATCTCTTCAGAGAGGAAGAACGCTGTTTAATGTGGGTCTGAAGAGTCTTTTGATAATGGAACACTTTTAACATCTTCAAGCCATTCAAGATCATTGATGGGCAAATGTTGTTGCAACCATGAAATGACAGTAGCTGTGAGTATAATATCCTCCTGCAGCAGTGTCCTTCTAGAACATCCCTTGTACTTCTCCTACAGAAAGTTCTGCATTTAAAGTGAGCCTTCATATTAATATTGCAGCGTTTGAGGGAAACTGCTTTGCAGTTACACAAGAAACATTCTGCAAGAATGCAGAGAGCTTTGGGTCAGTAAATGGAGAGGCAAAAGTGAGGGGTACTTTGTGCAGTGAGAATTGTCAAATAGGGGAGTGACAGAGGGATCAGTGAGAAGGAGACAGACTGGTGTTCTGAGTTCTCCAGCAATTACTCTTAGCAGGAGATACTTCACAAAATGCATATTCAAAGTGTGAAATTTATTCCCAAGGGGTACTGTAGATGCCAGATTAGCTGGGGTAGTTCTTGATGAGCCGTGTTGGAGACAGGATAGCTGGTTAGATGGATCTTTGTTTTGACCTAGTATGGCCATTTTTATGTAAAGGTGAAATCCCGACTCCAATGATGTCAGTGCAAGCCTTGCCACTGAGTTAATTTGAGCTAAGAATACACACCGATAAGAATAGCAAATGGTTCAGGGATTAATTCATAATCCTGCAACATTTCAAGACTTCAGTGCAGCTCCATGAAGAGAATGCCAGTTAGCAAACATCTCACCTATTTGATTGTAGAGATTTTATACTTCCTTTCTGTGATCCTCCCTCAACCCCAAACAAGGATCATACTGCATGAAGTTGAATAAAATGCAAATCCTGTTGGTTTCCCCCCTGATGCCATTCTGCAGGTCATTTTAATGAACTGTGGTTCTTTTAAAATGTAGGAACATTAGAAGCATTACAGGATATAAATTACAGCTTAACTTCAGTTTTAGTCTCAGTGTCTGTAGAGTTCTGTCCTTGCTGTGTAACATTCTGGTAAAGACTTCAAGCACCTTATCTGCTTTTTTTTTTATTATTTTATTTAATTTTTTTTTTTAATAATTTTTACTTTTCAGTTGCCCTCTGACTCCTTTTCAGAACTGCATTTATGTAGACTCCCTTGCTCTTTACAATGTTTGGTTTGTGTAGTGACTTCAACACTGTCTCAGATCTCGGATCACACAAATGCTCTTGCGGTTTCGTGGTCACCACTGAAGATTACGGTGTGTGGTGGGCTGAGATATTTTTGCCAATAGGTGGAATACAGCTGGTTTTCATTTTCAGAGGAAACCTGACAAGCCCAATACACTATCACAATAATTCAGCACAAAACACTGAAGTTTAAAGTGTTCTCCCACGTTTTTCCCAGCCTATAGATGTGACCCAGACACTTTGGAGGAGAGGGACACAGAACTGTCTATACAGTACATGCATATTAATGTACATATGCTTATTTTTGATGTGAAAGATAAAAATCTGCCAAATTCTCCTACGTACTGGGAAAAAGCTGGATTTTCTGAGTGTGAGAATGGGAAGGTGAGAAGGAGGGAGATGACTGAGAGGTGAAAGTACAATGGAATATTCCTCTCTGCCCCTCTGAAGGTTGCCAAAAGCTCCAAGTGGATAAGGCAAGGGGGGGTCTAAATACAGTACAAAGAGGAATAGAAATATTATCATCTTCTTCATAATTATGGAGGGCCAAACATATTGTCAGTGGGACAAATGGTTGTCTTGGCCCCTGTTCCAGCAGAAGATTCCTAGAATATTAAGAACAGAGAGCTGAAAATGTATCTGCATCTCCCTTGTAGAAAGGCAGCTCATCCATGTCCATAGACACAATCTACAAAGGTCATGAGCTTTATCTACAAATGGTTTGCAAAAGGACAGGCTTTGCTATGCTGAACAACAGGATGTAGTTCAAAGAGCCCTGAGCTGGGTTGGTAAAGTCTTGATTTGGGAACAGCATAGGAAAATCAGTGTGAGAGACGGAGAATAAGCAAATTATGGTAACATTAGTTAAAGTTACCATAATTAGTTAAAGTTAAATTAAACTTAAATTAACATCACCATAACAAGTATGGTAACATTAGTGGCCCTTCTGCATTGGGGGACTGAAGCAGTGCCACTGCGTGGTGCTGGCCAGACTCACAGATCTTTTTGGGGCCAGCTTGCAGAGCTGCATTCTTGAGTGTGATATTGTTGATGCAGATTGTCTCCACAACCCAGTCGGAATATTCATTTTAATCTTTTTAATTGCCACGTTATCGTGGTGGAAAATGTCCTCAATTCATACAGACAAAGAAAAACTCTTACACAACTGAATGCCCAGACATGGTGCTAACTTACCTCACGTTAGATGGGAGGGAGTTTTACAAGCAGACTGACACATTTCTTTATAACAGTCTAGTATAACTGTCATTTGATTTTACCCATAAAAATCCTTCTATAAAAGCAACAACTAAAGAAAGCATGTTCTGGGTTTGAATTTCATAAAAACAGAATTGCACTTTTGATACAACTGCTCTTTTTATGATGTCTGTGAATAATTCTCCATTTAGATTTCAAATTACAGCCCTATGCAATTTTTAAGAAAGCCACCTTAAAATCTCCTTGGAATAGTCAGAAACAGACTGTTACCTGTATGTAGTCTATAACTTGCTGGTGTCTTTGTTTGGCTGCAGCGACTTCACTGTCTGAAATTGCTTCCCTCAGGGATTGCTGGGTTTTCAGAGAGTCCAGCTCTATGACAGCAGAAAGGCGGCAATACAGGCTTATAAATTTTTCCTTGTAACAGCAAAAATGAACTGTGAAAAGACCAAGTGCAAAGGGAAAATTGTTACGTTCTGGTTATGAAATATGAAATCTTTAGCTTTCAGAACACAAATTTTATGACATATACTAACCAGCTCTGGATGGGTTACTTTAAGCTAGAAATAAATAATACAGGCTCTAATTCTCCTCTCATTTACACTGGATTTAGTCTGAAACTTCACTGATTTCAAAAGAGTCATTTCTAATTTATATCTAAGTGCAGGGATAATCAGGCCCTTAGTATGCAGCTCCAGAGGCTGTCTTGCCCTTGATAGCTTCAATCAGAAATGCTGTTTCTGAGGCTTTCATAGCTCATCATTTCTTTTATCAAGAAAGTAGTGACATGACTGGAAAATGAAACTCATCTTTTATTTCTTTTAATTGAGTGTTTCAGAAAGAAAGGATCGTTTTGAAGGCTAATAACTTTCTCTTGGGCTATGCTGGCTTAAATCAGGAACTTCAGTGTAAATGACTCAGCAGGAAAGGCATTGCTGTGATAGCACAGTTTGGGAGAAACAATTAAAACCCTTTTAGGTGTTGGCACACATCATCCTCTGGACTCTCCTGCAGAAGGGTGACACAGGAAGTTCAGACATGACCCTTTGCTTTGTGTAATTTGACTTAGGAGCAGCACAGAGCTCTCGGAGCTGTATCAGAGACAGAACAGCTACAGTGCCACGGAGCTCCTCAAATGCTAATTTACCTGCCTTCTTAAAGCTTGTTATTCCAGAACCTGGAACTGCTCAGGCAAAACTTAGCAGTCACCTCTACAAATGGCAGTGCAGATGTACTGGAACTTGCTGAGGGAGAACAAGTTTTCAGGAATACTTCCCCATTCACTGGTGCTTCAGTAAATGCAAACATACAGCATGGTCTTGTTAGAGAAGCCAATGCCTGTCCCTGTACTGGATTCTGGGTTGGGGCATGGTAATTTTCAGGGTGTTTCAAGTGTAAATTGCATACATTCTTATCATAAATAGTAGAAAGAGAAAAGTCAAAAAAGTAGAGTCACTCACATGACTACTTATCCCTTGCAAACAACATTATAAGAATAACTGAGAAATTAATTCTCAAACGAAGAAATCCAATCACAGAAACGTTGTAACAATAAAGACCTAATCTGAACATAGAAATCTTACCAAAAAAAAAAAAAAAAAAGAAAAAAAAAGAGTGAAAGGAAGAATTCTACCTTCTGGTTTCAGCCATGCCTAGATATAGCAGGGATCCAGTCTGAATAGTGTGTGGTCTTACAGTACATGTGCCATATGTGGTGGACTCTTGAGTGAATTACAACCGCGGTTTCGGCTCCAGTGCTGAAGTTTCGAGCCCTTGTGGTTTTAAGTCAGACCCTTTAATGTTACTTTAACAAATGTTACTTCAACGTAGTCTTTTGTGGTTATGCAATTATATAGTTGGTAGCCACCAGCTAATGGGGAATGGAAGCTTCTAATATTTGAGATGTGAATCAGAGTCACTTTATAGAACATCAGGGATACATATGTAATAAGTCATATAGAAATGTCATCTGCCTTTGGCCAGAGGATTGCTTACTGAAAAAAACTCACTCAAAAGTAAAATTCAGCTTTCCATACTGTTTTCTACACCATAAACTGCTTTTTCACTGTAGTAACATTGCTGAACAGAGAGGGCTGCACCTGGAATTCCTTTTGAGAGATGTCTCTGTTGAGTGTTTACCTGCACATCACCCCGTGCAGTGCCCATTGCTTTGCCAGCCTGATGCAGACTGTGCTGCAGAAATGAGAGTGACTCCTGCCTGTGGCCTCTGTGCCACATAATGAGAGTTAAATAGTCTGCAAAACCTCCAGAGTGCAGATTAATTTCATCAGAGATTAATATGCTTCATGCGTTAATTTGCACAGTGACACAGCAGTCCCCTCTCACCAGGAGAAATGATGTGCTCCAAACACAGAGGCCAACAGTCCTCAGGGTGGCAGGGCAGGAGATAAAAGTCTGGCTTTAGGGCACTGCAGCCATGGGATGTGACCCAAAGCGCTGAACTGACTCTTCATGTTCAATTACATTAGTTTGCCTTTGAAGGGGTAATTTTTCCTTGGCAGACTACACCATGTATTGTGTGGCTGTACCCCTCAGAATTTTATGGCAGCTCAGCTGGCATCTGTCATCCCACAACCACCACAAAACCCCAGGGCTGTCACAGGCACCACTTTGTGTGCTGTGGCTGATGTGGCATGAATACAGTCATGTATTCCTGCCTGATCCAAGTGAAATTGTTGTGGGTGATGGTGGGTCATGGATCTGTTGTGACTGCAGAAACATAGGCATGGTCAGACCCTCCATCAGTTCATAAATATTGTTCTCCTAGGTATCAGTGACTGGAACAGCACTGATATAGAGGAGACAGAAGGGTACTGGTGTCACATAACACCTGAGAGAGACATCACTGAGGACACAGTTGCTGCCAGAGGCCTGTGCTGTAGTGGCTCCTGGTGTACCAACTTTTGGCTCATGTCTTTCTTCTCCAAGGCAAATGAAGGAAAGATACCCAGTTTTACAGGCCAGAAGGAAACAGAGCAGACTGATGTGAAAGGCTCAGCAGTCCCCATACTTAAATATAATATTCTGTCTAAAAAGAACTATTAAGTCTTTATGAGCTGCTTTTATGTGGAACCTTTCTTTTCTCTGTGGACCAAAGAAGAAGAAATGAAAAATAGAGGACCTTGAAGCTAAAGCATCTTATGCCTTCTGTGAAACAGCTGGAAAACTCTGTTTTGGGGAATTCTTACCCAGTCAGCAATGCAGTGGAACAAGAGGGTTGAATCTGCTACAGCACAGGATATGCTCCCTAAAGAAAGAAATTCAAGTCCAGTGCTTTGGCATTTTTCACAACAGGCTTTTCCTTCACCACAGCAATGGGACAGTCTCCTGCATTTTTCCAGGAATCAAAAGGAAAAAGATGACCCTCACACGGGAAAATCTATTCAGACCTTTCACAGTGTTGTGAGGGAGTCAGACCTCGAGTGGGACCATCTGCACTCAGGAACTGCAAATATTCTCATTACAGAACCGGTGGTTACCCTCTTGACAACTCAGAGGGATGTTTTTTGCATCTCCTTTCACACTCCAACCTTGCTGTGTTGTGTGCAATTTTTTTTTCCTGGTTCTGTTTTTTAAAGAACATCATCTTCCAAATAAGCTTATAGACACATAGTGGATAACTGTGGGCTTTGCTCTCCGCTTTGCATTTCAATAACGATGGCTACAGTATATGCTTTAACCGCCCTGCTCCCTCTGTAACTTGTACACAGTTATAGGTAGTGTTGTTGCCAAAGCCATCATGTGATTTATTGACTCTCCACTGGGACAAGGGGGAAAACAGATACAACTTTGTGATTTTATTATAAGGAGACTGGGTTAATATTTCTGGGTGAAGCAAGCTACTATACCGAGTTCAAACATCTGAAGAGGGAGGTTAAGAAATCCTGAGTGTGGGGTGTAAGGATTATTCTGTCCTGGGGCAGTGCAGACGTCGTCTGAGGCGGGGAGCAGGAGAAGAAAGGAGACATTGTGACCCAGTTCCAACACCTCCTGTGTGTACAGACGGAAGTGCTTTGCCTGTACAGGGACACGCGCGGGGGGAAGAAATAGGAGAGAATTACAACATGGCACTTATATAAACAACACCCCAAATGATATAAAACATTAAAGAAAATTTGCACAACATCAAGTTCGGAATTTTTATAAAACATAAATATTTGGGGCGGGGGGGGGGGGGTCGGGGGGTTGGGTCTAAATGTGGGTTCATGTCACTACATAAAATAAAGATTTAAAGCTGCAATGTTCCACATTAAAACAACACACACAGGCACAACCCCCCTGAAAACAACATTTATGTTTCTTATTAGGCAGAAAATGATCACATGCCATGTGCTTTTCAAGATTATGATTGCATAATTATGTGAAAACATGAAAATGGATTCAATTAAAAACCTTTAAGATTCAATTTAGGGTTGGTTAAGAGAAATATGCAGCTCTCCCTCAACACAGCACTGAAAAGGTTTAACAAGTGCTGCAGCAGGAGAAAATGGCACAGGCAGGAGCTGGGCTGAGGCTGCTCAGAGCCACTGTGTGCAGCACTGCTTTGCCATCTGGGTGTGCACCAGTGTCACTGCCCCTGCTCCTGTTCACCACAAAAAAGAATAAAAATACATCAATAAATCTGTTGAATTAAAAATTCAGTTCATTAACATCAAAGTTTGGTCCTGAGCCATCAAACCACTTGCAAGTGTGTTGAAGTGCAAGGTCATGTTGATGTCTGTCTCTCATGCACAATAGATGAGCTCAAATGCTTGGCTGAGCTGCAGCCTCAGGAACATTTTGCACAGTGATTTAAATATTTTAGTCCCTAACTCTGAAAGAAAACCAAAAAAGATGCACAAAAGCTATAACCTCCAAGCAAATACAGTAACACAGAGACCTGTACAGAGCCCTATTGAATTAGAGTGACTGACCACAAGGCAGCACACCATCTGTCTTAATTTTGGATTTACTTGAGTCTTACTTGGCTCTTCCCAGGCTAGAAGGTGCAGCACTGATGGATTCCTTTTTAAAAGCAAAGCCTAAACCTTTCAAAATCGAGAAATGTAGAACCAGATTAATTTATTTTAAGGCCACATCTTTCTAGCTGCACAAACAGACCTTGGAGTGAATATAAAGATGATTTACTTCTACTTTAAGACCTCTTTACCCTTGTAGACCAAAATAAAATTGAATTCATGTAAACAAGAAACAAACTTCTTAGCTTATTTTTTCACAGATCTTTCACATCATAGATTATCCTCCCTGACTTTATTTATTCACATGTGCATTTCTTGTACCTAAATGTAAAGCCAGAAGCCAGATACCTCTCCTCACCCACAGCAATCTGGAGGTCTGGAGATGTGTGTTTTAAAAGTGCTACGTTTATCTGGGTGTAAAAGAACAGCAACATGCTGTGTCATTAGCAGCCCCTTCATACAGCCTCACTCTAAACCTCAGATGCTCTGCTTGCCTGGAAAAATACCTATAATTTTCTTTGTCAATTGGGTAAAGGTGCTCAGAACTACCAGTGTCTTGCATAAGTGCTTATTTGCACCTGCCTGAAGTGTCACAAATATGCTAACAGATGGAAAAATAGAAAAATAGGAGCTAATTGAAGTTTGTCTCTTAATCCTTATATGTTCGAATATCCAGGAAACTGTTTATCAGAGATATTCCCCCTCCACACACTTAGAATATTGGAATACAAACCTCCTCTGCTTTCCTTGTCTTGTAGCCCTGCCACTGAATCCCTACTTGCAAATTACACAGTTTGTAGCTTTTAGTTGTGTTCTTAAAGAATCAATTTTTAAAAAGGTGATAAATACCTGATGCAGAGGTAGATTGATCTGTTTGAGGAGAGCTTTCACTGCCGTCTGGAGCTCGTACAAGAACAATTGAGTAGGGCAGTCTGAAGTATGATCCATACTTTCCACAGATTCTGAGCCAGAAAGTGTTTGGATCCATTCCCACTCATCTCTGTATGTTGAGTCAAGTTAAAATTAGAAATATAACAAAAGTTCAGTGCACAAGCAGGAATTCAGTGTATGTGCATTGGGGATCTGTTGATCGTTTAATCCTCATATACCCAAAACTTCTAAACCTGTGCAATCTCAACTGTTTGGGGCTAAAAATTTAACTTTGAAAAGTTTTAATTTTTCTAGCACATGTACATCAGGCTGAGCGTTCCTTGCAAACCTCTGCAAGTCCAACTGCCTTTGAAATATTTCACTAAGGCTTCTCACTCCAGGTTTTCTCTTTCATGTTCTTCGTTCCCGATTTACCACAATGCTTTAAAAAAAGCATACATTGGAAATGACAACCAGTAGTGGAAAGTTTAATCTCAGTGATGGACTCTTCTTCTCACTGCAGCCAAAGGACTTCCTGCTTTGCTCAATATATGTCCATTTGAGACCTGATAAACATGGGAGTCATCTCTCTGGATCAAATCCTTAATTCACCCTGCCCAGTATTCAGTCTTGAAAAGCAGCCAGAATCAAACATTCAAGGAAGAAAAAAACCTCCAGGAAATCCCACTACAAGACAAGTAATAGATGTGGTACAATCTGCTCCTAAATAAAGATCTGGTCTTAAACTTCAAGAGTCGGGGATTGTTATAAACTCTGAAGCATTAGGCTTTATATTCCTTCCAACACTGTTGTTAGTATTAACTACTACATTCTGGATGTCCTTGTTATCCATGTAGATATCCAGTTCCTTTTTCCTCATGCAAAATTCTCAGCTGGTTTCTGAAATGATACGGGATTAAAAAGGTCCAGAAAAAAAAGCCAATAAAATGTGTTGCCCACTAGGCAATGACCAGGCAGTGCAAACAGTGCACTTGCCAGCTGATAAGGGAAGGGGTGGACAAAGGGAAAATCACTTTCCCAGAGCACAGCAATTCATTGGGTGGTCACATTTGTAAATATGCTTTTCAGTTACTGTGTGTTTGCTGCAGTTTAGAGTGACAAACCAGTTATGACACAAGAGAATGAACAGGAAAATCACCCACACTGTGGTCAGTGAAAATCAGTGAGGAGGGTGGCACTGAATCCACTGGAGGCCAAATCAGGGCTGCAGGCTGTGATCTTATGAACAGGTCAATTCTGTGCAGAATTGGAATGACCATGGAATACCATCCTTAGAAACCAGCAGGGTCATATGCACATATTCTGGGCTGGCCTTCAGACTGCTGGGGAGACACAGGTGCACCTGTTTAGCTCAGAGCCAATCTCTGGGATGGCCACACCTGAGCCAAGCCTTTCTGCCACACACCTGAGCCAAACCTTCGTGCCGCCCACAATTCTGCAATGTCAGAATTGCCTTGGCATTTACACTTGATCAGTTGTTTCAAACTTAAATATTCTCTCTCTCATGTGTGTGTAAATACATATATATATATATTTACTTACTTGGAGACATTGCTGTTGTCCCGGATTTTAACATGACACAGGACATTGGGCAACTTCTGCAGCACCAGCACTTTGATTTGATCCACAGAACTGCAGAGTTTAAGGTAGCCCAGATACAGGCCGGGAGGGAGGCGTTGCTGACTTCGTTTGTGATAGGAAAGTATGTCCTGTTTTAAGGGAAACAGTCCTACATAAAAATCTCAGATTTTTTTTCCACATAAGCAGAAGAGTTTGAGATCAAAAAGCAACAACTGTTTTTACAGCCGCCGTTTTGTTTCAAGTGCGTTCCCAATTCGCAAAGCACTTAAGCACATGCTTAAGCATGAGAATAATCCCTGGTATCTTGGATGCACTTGGACAACTTCTTACTTAAAGCCGTACACAGGATCCCTAAGCTCTCCATGTCGTGCAGGAATTGGCTCTGACAACCTGGGGTTTCAATCTTCCACAACTCTGGTGTTTAAACTGGCTTAAATAACCCCCACCTCTGCCTCCCGTCTGATCATTTCAGCAGTGAGCTGGGTCAGGGAGCTGATTCATCTGAAAAACAACTTGTTTTTGAGGCAGAGGAGTTCCCTGGTTCAGCTTTGGTGCATGGCTGCACAGACAGAGCACTGGGGAGAAGCTGTCACCTGGGGCAGGTGCGAGAGAGTGGCTGTGTGAGCCAGGACTGTGCCCAAAGAAATCCCAACCTGCAGCTCCCCAAAACCTTTCTGTATCACCTGCTGTCACCACGGAGTTCCCTGCGAGCCTGGCGCTTGGTATTTTATAAAATTGAATTAGTGGCAGCATTTTTCTGAGCAAATATCTTTTCCAACAGATGGAGCATAGGAGAAAAGAGTATTGATGGTGTATTTGCTGAGGCCAGGAGACATTTTTAAGGCTATGTATAGCAGTCCTCCAAAACTACCCAAAAAGTGATGTCTGCTGCCATCCTGAGAAATGTGTGCTTCTGCAGTGGGTGAGGATTAAGACACCTGGCCTTATGCCTTTACTCTTGGAACCATCAAATTATCTGCCAGTGCTATGCTTGGCTCTGACCAGTGCAATTAGACCCTCATTTTCACAAGCACTTCATGAACAAAATACCCATTCGATGATTAAACAAGTAATTGAAGAAAGGGTGGGCATTAGATAGGAATGTGTAAACCATTAGGGGAACATTTTTTCCACTAGGATCTCTGTGGAAATCTGATCAGGCCTGTATTTTGCTTTTCCTAATATAAAACTTTTGCCCAGATTGACATTTTTCTGCACCTTTAATGCACTTTAGAACATTAAATCTAACATAGATCAGGTAGTTTTTATTGTCTTTTGGAAATTTTTGAACGTTCCTAAAACCTGGTAACATATAATTTGATTGCCTGTGACTTCCCGGTATGAAAAGCAGAGTCTCTGCCCAAGAAAGTGCCTCTAATTCAAAAATTAATCACAGCAAGTCATCATCTCATCGAGGGTGCTAAAGAAAGGACTAAGATGACAATTTGTCTTGTATTTTGGGTAACTGTGCAACTGATTTTTAGGGAGATTTGCTACTGATATACTGGGAGAAGTAGGTAGCTGTTACCTACAGAAAACGTGTATTAATCTTACCATAAACTGTTTAATGTGAATTTACAGATACCCCAATTCTTGAAGGGCTGAACCCCCACATCCCTCAGTCTTGGTAACTGAACTGTCTATGCCAAGCAACTTCCAAGATCAATCCTTACCATGGTATTTTCCAAACTGTAAGTCTAGGAGCACGTTATGCAGAAATTAAAGGTGGGTTATGGTCAGTAAAGAATTCTTCAGCAACTATACCAGGCTCCAAGGAACCCTGAACCCCACAGAACAAGTTTATTAAAGTAGAACAGTAAAGTTTAAAACCTAGATTTGGTTTTCAAGGTTGGATGGAAAAAGCTTATGGAGTGTAGAAATTCTAAGTGTCTGTAGAGGTGCTTAAGAACATCCCAGAGAATTTTAAAGCTTTTTATATCCCTTGCTACAGAATTCCAAAGCATGGTTTCCCGAAACTGATAGAAACTACTATTCTCTGCTAGGATTTTGAGGTAGTTTCTTTCAAATCTCATGGATATTTTGCATATTAAGGATCTGATCCCAGACTCACTGGAAGTAATATAAGTCTTTGCTTTCAATGGGAGCCTTGCCATTAATTTTATTGGGCACTGGACTTTGGCCTAAAATTCTACAAGACGCTTCCAAAAATCAGGGCTCTGGCACAGGCTTTACAAAAGCAAATAACACACAGTAAGAGAAGCAAAGCACTACCTGGATTGTTATGAGCAAGATGTCTAATGCTGTTGGCTCCTCTGGAGTTGAAAGGGATTTCCTCTGGCTTTGTAGTTTGGATACCTGCATCCATTTGCCATTAAAAAATGAATACAGACTCTCCACTTCTCTTACAGTAACTATCAGCATATTGCCATGTCGATCCTTGATTGGTTCATAAAAAACTCTGCCTAAGTTGTGAGTTCCCAGCAAATTCTAGAAAACAAGCAAATTATAAAATAGAAGTTATTTATCACATAGCAGGAGAGTTTTGTGAAACTTAGGTTTGTTCTCAGCCCTGTTGACTTCAATAAAAACTAGACACACAATGTTTCTGAAACCCTTGCCCTGCAGTCGGATCGTTTAGTGAGAAAAGGAGAAGTTTTTCCGTAGGCTGTGTCTGTGGATGGAGTTGTGGGTCATCCAGTATATTTGGTCCAGCAGGGTTTAGTCCAATGTTTAATGGAGAACAATGACCCAATACCTCTGTGAAAGGAAATGATGCAAAGTAATTCACTTATTTGGGCTGAACTTGCTAGTTTTGCTCAGTCATGTAAAGATGAAGGATGCAATTTTCAGAAGCACTCAGTATTGGTCCAGCAGTGGCTCCTTTAATCTGAGCTTACTGAAGAACTTGGTGTTTATCTGAACCTCCTCGGAACCAAATGTCAGAGATTATCTAAAATTCTTCCTCTTTCCCCAAATCACTCAGAACAGACACTTTAAATGTTTTCTCCATTAACTGTAATCTCAGTTTTCTGCTCCCTGTTTTAAAATTATTCAGAGTATTTTCAGGAACAAAAGCAAGAGATATTTGTGTTGAATGTAAATAATTCTGTAGCTTAACTGTGGAGTGTGTTTGTGAAGAAACACAGGATTCGAAAAGACACGGACCCTTTTACTTCAGATACCAAGAATGTGCTAGACAAAACAGGCAGAAACTAACAAAACTACCAGGGCAAAGCTCTCCAGGAAAATATGTGAGGATTAAAGAAAAGTAATTTTAAAAGGCTCCACATAAAATACATATTTTGGTCAAAATCCCTTTCCTCACACAGTAAGGCATCTGCTTATAGGTGCAAACACACTCAATCCAGTGACCAGCCACTGAAGAGATTCCCAGATGTCTTAAAGAAAAATGCCTAACATTTAAAATATGCTCATTACTTTGTGATTTTTCAAGAGATCTGCAGTAAGCTGGATAAGGGAGAGGGATAGTTTGAAACGAAAACTTGAATTCACAATGAAGCACATTGTATGTTTAGGGAAGTGCTGTACGTTAACCTAATGACATTGTAAACTGGTAGATTACCCTGAAATTATTTATCTGTACTTAGCAGGCAATATTTACTTATGAGCTGTATTATTAAGTTGTTTATAAGCTCTAGGTAGGCACCACCGTGACTGCCCTTTATGTGGCATAATAATTTTGGCTTTATCCATCCCTCTCCAGGGCAAACTGTTGGTGTCAGTACAGCACTTCCCCTCTGCCTTTTTTAACTGTTGTGCCTTTTGAGGTTTGTTTCCATCTCTGATTAACACTGGCTGTCTTGAGTGTGCATTTTGTGTTAATCCATGTGTCTCCAGCTGGGATAAGTCACTGCAGCAGACATAGCCATCTAGTTGTCATATTAATCACTGCAACACGTGAATGTGCCGAGATGAAAACAAGCAGTTCTTGACTGTCACTGAGTGTGTGTGGTGAGTGGATTCCAGCACAGAAAACAGGGGACTTACTAACATCAATGTAGGACTGATTAATAGACTAAAAAAGTTTTTGTCTGCTCAGCTTGGCACCCCATCACTTGTGTTTTGTTTGCTTTATTGTCTAGTGGTAACAACAGGCAAAATTGCAGTCCCTGTTGTCTCTGAATCTCCTGATCTAGTCCCTTAGCAGCTGTGTTGTCACTGATCTTTTCCATTCTGTCCTAAATTCCTGTGGAGTCAGTCTATTAACTTCCTCAATAAAATGTATTCAACCATATAAACTTTATTGAGATCCTTCCATTGGTGGATCCCATTAGGCCACACACCGTTAGAGGTTGGCAGATCGGTGACAGTCCCTGTGTTCATCGGGGACCAAGCTACAAGAACAGACATTAAGGGCAGTAAATTTGCCAGAAATTCAGCAGAGCAAGACACCACATGGGCACATTTGCTGTATCTCAGGGCTTTGCATCCCTGGTAACAAATAATAACATGATGTCCTGGGACTGCTGGTTATCCCTGAGTGCAGTCCATGCGGGCTGGCAATGCTCTGCTGAAGGGAATCTGCACAGGGGGAATGGAGCTGAGCTAACCCGAGGAATGTGTGCTACCTGAGCTGAGCCAACCACACCAGAGGGAATATTCGGCAGATATAGTTAAAACTTTCTCCAGTGACAGCTCAGAGGACTGACAGGCAGCTGCTGCTTCACACAGGTGGTCCTCCAATAAAGGAGCAGCAGGCTGGCATTCCATATATTTCGGGGCACTTTGGGGAAATCAGTCAGGACAGGTGGTTGCCCAGGAAGGCTGCTCTCCTGTAAAGCGTGCCTGGCCAGAAGATGTAAAACAAAACCCCAGGTGGATATTCCTAATACTGGCCCCGAAGTGTGTGGCTCTCAGAGCTGCTGTAAAGCGGGTTATTGCGGGATGACGTGTGGCCAACACGTGCCCAGCGATGGGGATCTTCATTAACTCCATGGCTGTGCCACAGACTCATGGGAAGCTTTGGTGCCTCCACTCAAGCAAAAGGTAGCAGAAAGTGAGGCCTTACTTTTTTTTCCTGTAAGGATTATGCACACAGTTTTTTGAGAATGTATTTTCCCATAAAAGCAAATATTTTAATGAAAATATCTGCCTTCCAGCTAGAGATTTTATGGTATCATGAAACCACCTCCAAAGCTTTACAATAAATGTCAGAATGTAATGCTGGAGATAATTTCTGTTTGGGTAACAAGTAGTGGACTGAGACACCAAAGGTTTAGGTGACTCAGGTTGTATCTGTAGCAGAGATTGGAATAGAACAATCCTGAGAGTCACTGCTATGCCTTTAACACATGGCATGAATTGTGCATGTAGTGTTGCTGTCCTTACCACAGGCAAGATCTGTGCAACACTTAATCTCTCAGTCTCTGTTTTTAAGGGTCTAAATAGGAATCTGACTTGTTCTGTGCACAAAGGCACATTTTAACCTAAAACTTTTGGCAGCTCGACGGAGAACTTAATGAAAGAATTGTTTTTATTTTCCCCACTGACAATCCACACCACCACTACCTGTTTGTCAGACAGTGAAGCTCTACCCTAGAAGTTGTACTTTGTGAGCCTGGGTGAATAAGGAGCATATTTTGGCAACTTCAGCAGTGTGTTTGTCCTTCCTGTCAGGGACAGAAGCTGCCTACTGCTGCATGTTCCCACACAGCACAAGGGAGTGCTAAATCTTACCCAGAGTTTAAATGCTTCATTAATAGATTAATAATTAATAATGAATAGGCCTATAAGAGGCTTTTGGGCAGCAAATATTAGGATTATAACTCTTGAATTCCCAACCTGCAAACCCACAGGCTTGTCTGTGGTCACTATTTACTGGTTCATATCTGTTTGTTTCTTCATCTGCCACTGTTGTTTCTTTTCTTTGTGTTCCCTGCCCCTCAATTCTAATGTCCCTTCCTGCTCCCAGCTGGCAGGAGGGGCTCAGTGCCTCATTTCTGCTTCAAAGAACAGGCTGGAGGGACAGCTGGCAGCACTGTCCCCTGGAGATGAGAAAGTCTCTGAGTTAATAGCCAGGAATATGCCATGGAACGCACCTGTAGCTGTGCTGCTGCTGAAAGCATCTTCTGCCTGGCCTGGAGGGCTGTTGATGAGGACACGGACACAGCCATGTTCTGCCTCAGCCATCTGATGTCATCCCACATGCAAGACAACTGTAAAAATATATCCAGTTCAATCAGGTTTTGTTCTCAGCCTTTACAAAAGCAGAAATGAAGCTAAACAGCGTTTTGGACTTGGAAAGATCAGTGGGTATCGCTCATTTTGAGTTTCTGTGGATGGCAAAGAGCTGCCTGGAGAAACATGACACAGATACTGACTCAGACACAGAAGGTGTTCTGTAAACATCATGCACCTGGTTCAATTGATTTTGGACTATTGTACAAAATTATTTACTGGTTTTGGGGTCTTAAAAAAATAGTGTGAAGAGAACTTGAATGATGGCACAGCCACAATACCGAATTCAAAACTTCTAGTTATTTCTTTAGGCTCTTTCTCTAAATGTTCATAAAACCTTAATGTACCCACATAACAATCACTGATGTAGGATTGTGCATTGAAGAGTTAATTGTGCTGCTGTCAGTGACCCAGTCAGAATTTAGTTCACATAAATGGTTTGTGAAAATTGCATTTAACGAGTGATAAAGCACTTCAATCATTTAGCTTTTTAATTATATAATTGAATGTATTCAGAATGATGAGCTGAGGCCTAGGCACTGCTAGCAACAGATTTGCAGAAGCAATATATGAAATTAGACTCCCGTTACCTTTGTGAACCACAGGAAATCCTGCATAACTGAACTACTGTGAGAGTCATCGATTTCCACAATTGGGATTTGATCTTCATTGGTTACTAACAAATTGTCTTTGTAAAAAAGTATAACACATAAGTAGAGTCCCCTAAAGAGAGAAGGAAACACTATCAAACACCTTTCATGTCTATTCACATCCATGCCAAATTTAGTCAAAGAATCATAGGTGTTAAGTTCTGAGGAGAGAAATTGAATCATCTGGTCTTAAATTCTGTGTTCTATAGATCATGCAACTTCAGTCAGTGAATTCTAAAAAATATTTGGGAAGCATTACCACTTTAGATGATGTGAGACTACGTGAATCCAAGAAATTATGAATCTGTGCAAGCCATTGATATTTCGTTTCAGTGCGAATTTTGCCAGAGTACACAGTACATAATGGAGGCTTTATGCCCTTCAGAAATCAGAAATTTTACTAAAACTTATCATTAATGTGCTTAGTTCTGCCCTCGTTTACTTCAGAGCAAATCTGAGGTAACTCAATTGAAATCAGGTGGGTTATTATGGATTTACATTAGTGTAATTGAGTGTAATTTGGCCAACATATCTTCAAAACTGTTTATAGAGATCATTCCTCTCAATATTTACCCTTGCAATTAGTTACATACGTTAAGTAGTTGCCGTAGGGAATTTAAAGACTCTGGAGAGCTCTTCTGGAAGAATCAAACTCTTATCAAAATACAAAGGAGAAAAAGCAAACTGAACACTCCTGGCAATGAAAGAAGAAATAATTCCAGCATAAGCAACTTCCAATTGCTAAATTATCAAGGCTGAGGGTTGGGTCACACTGGACTGCAAACCTGTTAGAGAATTCTATGTGTGTAGCTTGTTGCCAGTGGACTATTCCAACATGTTATATCTGAGCTCTGCACTTTATGTTATGAATAAAATAAATGTCCCAGTTTCATTACTGAGCAGCAACAGAGGCAGTGCTTCCCAAATACCTCAGTAGCTGCACTTCATGTTTGCACAGAATATTTCACTCTGTTACAGTTTGACTCCATTTCTAAGAGTAACAATGAACAGATTCTATTGATTTCAGTCAGGTCTGGAGCTTTTTTTCCCTGTCAGTCTCACACGTGTGTGATTTAATCAGGTTCGATTCTGACTGATTGCTCTTTCATTGGTAGTGGCATCTCCACACAGATTTCTAAGGTGCTTTTCACTATCACAACAACAATAACAACAACAGCTAAAACTCTGAGTGTCAGGAAGATAAAAGGAATGACAAACCGTTTCAGAGTCTTCACAAACTTGTTCGATGAGTGGAAAAGGTGCTTCAGGCTCCTGGAAACTGATTGCTTGCGACCAGCATTTTGTAATTTAGAACTTTCTAAAATTGAAAAAAAAGGAAACCAAACCCAGCTCTTAAATTTCAGTTAGTGCCTCATAAAGAACTTTTGTTTCTTGACCCACAATACTAAATTTCAGTCAGTGTCCATTTTTTTCCTTTCAAAAAGCAACATTTAGAAATTGCTCAAACGCATCCCTTTGACTGTGTTTTCATTACTTAGTGATACACACCAGCAAACAATTTCCTTACTTGCAGCAAACTCAGACTAGATACAACATATTTTGCTCCTAGGCAAAGTATAGCTTGAACCAGCACTGTGTACTCTTAATGGTGTGAATTTTGCAAGGGAACTCAAAAAACCCAAGAAGAGATTTGAACCGTTGAGTCAGCATTTTTGGTGTTGTGATTCTCCAGTTTCTCTCCACTTGTAGCTTAAGCTTCTAAGAATTGGTGCCCTGGCAGTCACCAAGATCACAGCATCATCAGTCTAAACTAAGGAAGAGCTCTAAGGAGACAATGAGGTCGACCTTCACCTTTCTTTGTATCACATTCAGTGCGTCTGTTTTTGCTTGGGTTTTTTTTCCCCATCACAACTTCCACTCACCTGAATTGCCTCAGAGTTTTCACAGTTACCTTTGCTCCCTAGTAATTTGGAATACAAGGAAGCTGAGACCTGCTGTGTGCCTGCCAGCACCTCTGGACCAGCTTTCTCAATTAGAAAAAAAAAATTATAAATTCAAATATTGTCCCAGTATTCTAAAAAAAAAAAAAAAAAAAAGTTGTTATATTATTATACACTGTATTCTTTTTCACTTTGGCGAATTTGACTTAATGTCTTTCCTTCTCTCATGCATGGCCTTGTAAGCCAAAGAAATACATTCCCATGGGAGTGGATCCTCACCTGTGTACCTGTGAGCAGGTTTGGAGGGGATGCCAATAGATGGCAGTCAGGGACATGCAGGATTGTATCATGCACTGTCAGTTGTCCACACGTGGCATTTGAAAAGCACTTAACACTGATTTCTTTTTGCATTGTCTTTTGCAATGTCTTTCCTGTTTAATGCTGTTGTAAGAGAAACAGCAGGAATATTTAACTAAAAATAAAAAACCAACAAAAAAAAGAGTGACAGGAAAAGAAAGGCAAAAAATGCAGCTGTGAAAGTGCATCTCAGTTTTCCAGGATCTATTTTGTTTGGATGAATCATGGATCCACGTCCAGATGGAAGTGTGAAACATTTTGAGGGACACCCTTTTCCAGTGGGAAAAAAAACATGACTCATGAAGAACCATTTGCTGAAAGCTGCTGATCATCTGCTTAGGTGTTCTCAGAGTAACTTATTTCCCACTTACCTCCAAGAATGGGAGGTGTCTGTCTGTGTCTCCCCACTGATTTCTAAGTTTGAACATTTAAAGAACATCTAAATTTGCTGCTGTCACAACCCCATCTGTGGAAGTGCTCAGCATATTTTTAAATGCTGAATAAATTTGCACCATAATTCGCACGTTGAAAGCCCCAGAAAGCAGACACATTGTTAGCAATAATTGCTGCTCTGTGGAACAGCGAGTACAAAGAGAGCAAGGTTCTGTTGGGGGTGAAATCATACAATTCAGATGTATGAGACTTATTAGATCATCAAATCCCTTGTCTTTCCAGAATATGCATGGCATATTCTCCAGTGCACCGTTCAGCTTAGTTTTAACAGACTCATCCAAATCCATGACTACTCCTTTGAAGCTACTGACCTTTGTTTTCTTTTCCTTTTAAAAATACTAATTTTGCATTTCTACCCGTAGCTCCTCAGATAACTGTTATTTTACTGTGAGCATTTTCAGTGTATTGCAGTAATGCAAACCAAATGCTACATGAGAACTCCTGTCTTCCTGTTTCCTTCTTCCAAGGTTAAGACCAATTTAGGAATATAAATTTCATTCTAATTATTTTCTTCTATATTCTCTCCATCTATATGGAGGGAGGGGAGGAGGAAATTGCTGAAGGCAAAGCAACATAATTCTGAAACTCCCAGAGACTGCAGCATTAAAATAAGAGGGCACATTACAAGTGAAATATATGTTATTGGGCTATTCAGTGGTTTGGGTTTAGTCCACAGCTTTGCAGAAGCCAACTGCAAAAGAAATAATGTAAAACTAGATGGAGACTTTAAACTCTCCTACGTTGCTGTTTGCTTTTGTTTTACAGTAACATGTGTGTAGGAGCCAGAAAACATGGAGCTGAGATTAGAGGATAATTTTGATCTGCAGGAAATGGAGCCTTGGCTGTTACTTAATTAACTAATAAATAACATAGAGTAACCTTCATAGAAAAGCACCAGTAGCAACACAGTGTGTTTATATTAATAAATGATGCAGCAATAGAGCTGTGAGCTCTTTTAATAGAAGCCTAGGAGTGAACACATAGATGAGAGAATTCCCAGTGATTAGATTTAGATCAGAAGCATTCAAACCTGGATTGAAATGAACAATTAAATAAAAGTTGTATTTGTGACATTGGCAGCCTTTCTCTTCGAAGGTAGGGTGTGCAAATGTTTCTTGCAGATTTTTATGTAAATACAACTAATACTTAAGAGCAACCTCATGGAAGAAGAAGAACAATGCCCACTGGTGCTTGTGTATATCCAGGGTCTCTAAGGAATGCGTGTTATGCTGTGCCATGTCTCTGAGGAGGAAGATTATCTGGAATTCTTTGTCCTGTCACTAGACAAGTGGATGCCTCTTCTCAAGTGGGGCAGATGGGAAGTAAATGGAATTACCTCAGTGCAAAATTATCTGAGATCTCAGCCCCCACAAGCCAGGCAGTTTGTGGAACAGCTAAGTATCTTTTGGAGTGACCCTGGACAGGGAAGCAAAGTAGCACAGGATGAACTAGATCCCACTGCAGTCCTAGTGGAGGGCATAAAGCGGGGTTTAGAGTTTTCACTTACTGTGTAACCTTATGAAATTACATTGAATGGCTGGAAACTTCCAGATGAATTCAAACTCGATTTAAAGCTGCACATTTTATGCAGTGCAGACAGCTGACACTGGGATAATGTGCATGGAGACACAGAAATTAAAGTGGCCAGACACCTCAATAGCTTGAGACCATGACAGATTCTGTGTTACCTCACCTCGAGGTGGGACGTCATTCAAAAGAAAATTCTGTATCTCATGAAGAAGCCTGACAGTCTTCTACCACTGTGTGGTATGTTTTGGATGACAAAGTCAGGCTCAACAGCTAAAATTGTAACTTCTTAAATTCCCTACCTAAACTCAGTTTATGGCTTGGTTCTCAAGTCGGCTTGTGTATATTTCACAAATAATTATAATCTAAACATGTTAAATGTCCTGGGGAATCAGAGATCCTTCTCTTTGTTAAAGGCAATTAAAACTATGTGCTCTGCTTGTGAATCAAGTTACAATTAGAACATATTTATTTCACTTCTGACTTGTCCAGTAAAATACATTTCAATTAAACTTCAGAAAGAAAATATCTGGTAAGAATTTTACTGAAGAGTTGGGTTTCTTTCTTAATGAAGCATCACACAATTACTTAATCCACTCAGAACTGTTTAGAAAAAATGAGGTACAAGAAAAAAAAATACTTAAAAATATATTTGAAGTGTTGCCAGGACATACAATTGTAGTAACTCAGTTATGATAGTCTGTAGCATGGTATTATGAAGACAAATGGATGACTGTTGTTTGTAATCATCAAGGTTTTCCAGAAGATTAAACATATGAAAGCAAAGCTTCCTAAGTAATTCCCTAGGAGATTTCATCATATCACAGAGCAGGTTCAAAAGCAACAGCTGATCTAATTCCAAAAGCTCTTAAACTCACTGTACATTCCAGTGTATTCTTCCTGGTATTTTTGTAAGCTTGTTTTCTCCAGCCCCTGCAATGCAAAGCACAGGGCAAAAGGCAGAGCCTGAATGAGCAGACCTGGGCAAAGGATCTGCCTGGAATCCGGGCAATGTCCCCTCCCAGATCCCACTGGAGCACCAGCACACGGTCTTGCCCTTCCAGCTCCTCTGTGATCAGAGGCTTTTGCCCGTGCTATCCAAGTGACCTCAGACCTTTTAGATGGATCACCTTCAGTTTTTCCACCTCCCTTGCACTCATCCTCCACTCTGCTTCAGCCAGCCCGAGCAGCACGAATGGGATATCCCACACAGGAATCACCCCGGGAACAGCTGAGGTGCCTGGACACCTCGTTTGAGTTCCATCTGTCCTCACTGGGCTTTAATTCATGCAGAGTTTGATTCTGCTCTCATTAATAAACCACAGACAAATCAGTGGTATTGAGGGATCCTCCTCAAACAATGCCCAGCTGTTCACAGACATCTCTAAACCAAATGTGGCAAACAGAGATCACAGTGTTGACATCCAGCCAGGGTTAGATGAAGGAGTTAGTAGAGGGAAGCAGGGTAAAGATAAAGGATAAATGCCTGGGCAGGTCCTCAGCCTGTGTATGACAGCATGTCTGTGCTGACTTTTATCCCTGTCAGTTGAACCATGCAGATTTACATTAATTAAGAATCTAGATCAGGCCTCTGTATTATATGAAATAGAAGCTGTTATTTGGACTTTTCAGTCTTACGCATCAGTTTATCTCAGATCCTTGACCAAAGTCCTCAGACTCCACCAAGGCTGATAAATACCAGAATCAAATTTCAGAGCCAAAGTGATGGCATAATTCTTCCTTTTCCTGCAAACTTTGTCGTGATTCCTTACCACATTAGTGAAATACAAGGGATTGACATCAGTCAGATATTTAAAGCAAGTTCCAAAGGTTCTCCTGTGATGTTGCCATCCTGATTTGTCCAAAATACACTACTGTGTGATGCTAGCATTACAAGCAACGATGAGATTTTTTAATTTGGTTGGAGACATGGCTGTAGCTCAAGCTGACTCCACATGTGGTGCTGCCCCATGAGAGCTCCCACAGCCTTTTGGGCACAGAAGAAACCGGAGCTAAATGGATTTTTTGTATTGTTATTATTTATCATTTAAGGAAAAGGAGTTAGGAAATCAACAACAGAATTTTCTGTGCTCTAGTTTGAGACTGGGGTTAATTTCTGGAGTGGTAGAATTTTATAAGAACCAGGCCCTGGTGTCAGATTCTCAAAAGGAGGGATTTTCTGCATGTTGTTTATAACTGCTTCTGTTCCGAGCCGGTATGTCAGTAAAACAATTTATACTGAGAATAGTTTCAGATGTTCCATCACTTACTCCCTGTTCACTAGGAAGATGGCAGGAAAGACCCGAGATAGGCACAAACTCCAGAAGGGAAAAGCTGTACTGTAGAAAAATGGTACACACATTATATTCTTGAATATCCTGGAAATGCTGTGTAAGAGAGAGAATGCATCATCTGTATTTGCAGTACTAAGACCACCTGCAAGTGGTAATGCTTGCATGAATTTTAATCAGGGAAACAACATTTTCTTGCAATATCTTCTTTCCCTTTCCTAGCACCGTAGATGAATCGTTTAAGTTGCTATGGTTACGATGGGTTGTGGCAGACCGTGGATCATCGTGATGGTGACATATTTGCATGTAAAGAACAAAGGCTGCATCTTTTCATTTCAGCCCGGTGATTTTAGCCCCAAGTATTTCTGCGATTTTAAATCAATTGATGCAGCTTGACACAGCAGTCATTCTAGGTGAAGAAAAATGAAAACTTCATGGTAGTTTAACTTTTCAGTTTGAAATAAGTCCCTTTGCAATGAAGCATTATTCCAGTTAGAAGTTTATTTTAAGAAAATAAATAGTACTTTTCAACAACCCGTATAGAACAGGAGTTTTTATATATGCTTTAAAAAGAATGCCAAGCTGTTGCCTTGGCTCTTGAGCTATTAAAGGCACAGTCTGTTTCTCATGAATGAAGTTTGGCTGAGATTCGAACTCTCTCCTAGTTTTGATCCATTCTATTTTGAAATGTAGCAATCTTATCTTCCCACTGCATTGTGCAAGTATTTTTCATTATGGATTGGCAGTGGCATCCACTGGAGTATTTAGTGTCTTCCATTTGGAGGCAGCCAATTCCCCTCTTTTGATCCAAACCAGTTGTTAACTTTCTAAAGTATTTCCTCTTAGAAAAAAAAAAAATAAAAGAGACATCCTTGAAACATTTCAGTGGAATCCTGTGGGAAACTAATTTGTAGGGAAAAACAAATCAATAGGTGTGTAGGGTTCAGAGGGGGAAAGGGTGTGCCTGTGTGTGTGTGTGAGTGTGTGCATTCGAGCTTTCAGATGTTTTCATCCAACTAATTTCAAGGGTTAAGAGCAAGATAGTGTGCTAAAGTGATTCCAGATGGGCCAATATTAATATCTTTCTTTTCCTGATGAATGAGAAGGTATGACCTAGTTAGAAAACTGCTAAAATTACAGGCGCCACAGAGGCTTCAGCTGGTGCCCTACCACAGAGATATTTATCCTTACCTCTGCAATTATAGTGCTGATGAGCTGCTCGAACCTGCTGAAGGAGGCGTTCCAGGGCCTCAGTGTGTCCCCTGTGCCGAGCTTCTCTTCCACTGCAGTCTTTCCAGTCTATTGAACAAAGGAAATAAACAGAAATGAAACACAAAGGTGCAGGAGAAGGTCTAAAAATATTTTCTTGCCTCTGGTCCTCCTTGGCTTTAGAGGAGTTTTACGTCTCGGCAGGCAGGAGGAGTTGTTTTCAACCCTGCAGTTGTTACTCGCACACCGAGTTTTCTTTGCCTTGTGCCAGCTGGGTAATTAATCATAATGATTATTAACAAAGAGCTCCCAACCAGCTCTGAGAAGCTCCTGTAGTGCCTGACTAGACAACAACTATTTCTCTTCAGGACATGAATGGGCTCTGTTGCTGCAGCCAGAGCTGCTCTCAGCCTGTCCCAACACTCAGCCCCTCACTAAGATCACACTTCTGCTCCTTCTGCCTCTTTTTTTAGACATTGGGAGGCTTTAGGCACTCGACTCCAGTTTGTAGGAAACAGCAAAGTGGGGAATGAACATCTTCCCACACCCAGAGCTTGCTCTGTAGCCAGAGGAACATGTTCCGTGTAAAATCACTTCAGATCTGCTCCGGCAGCGGCCTGAAGGAACGCTGGCAGTGCCTGCCCTGGAGCCCTCGGGCTGCTCAGCACTGCACTCCTGAGGCAAAAAGCTGCGGTTTCTGTCCCACAAACCTACAACCTCCAACAGACTTTGTTTCCACTCCTTTGCTGCTAGTGACTGTCTCAATCTCGATTTTAAAAACCAAACTTATCACAAAAAGGAGGAAAAAACTGTGTGCGTCAGAGAGGAGCTTTTTAATTCCAGACTTGGCTATTTTCATACTTTGATTATAAAGAGAAAAGAGTATTGCACTCGTTTCCTGACCCAAAGTAATGGTGAATCAAGGTATTAAGAGATCTGTCTGCACAGGAGACACGCTTCCATCTTGCTGGCACAGAGGCCACGTACGTACTCACAGCCACCAACAGTTTGCTCACTCACTAAATATACAGATGGAGTTTCTAGTGCAAGTTTGGAGTCAAACATTCCTTCCAATGGGCTCACTATGCCAGGGATATAAATACCTATTTATTTACATTTAGTAGCAGCTAGAGTAAGCCCCTGAAAGACTGGAAAGAGAAGATATTTGCTATCCCTGTAGCCTGTGGGCAGTGCGACAGCTGCAGAGGGGCTGTCCCCTGTGTTGTGGGCTGTTGCAGAGATCCAGGGACAGCTGCATTTATTGCTCTGTGTGGGGATAATGTCCTTGGATCTCCTTTGAGCAGCCAAGAGGGACCAACTGGAACTCACCAATCTCAAGTGCTTTGGTGCCATGAAACTGGGGTTTCTTATGATTTCTCTATCCCAGTGCCTTCCGAACTTTTTGAACCTCCAGATTGCTGACTACCTTAAAAATGACACGCAAATCAGTTTCCCTCATTGTCCATCTCTCACCTGCTAATGAATAAGCCTAGAAATCTGCTATCATTTCATAGAGTGGCTGCACAATGTTGGTCACCACCTTCCAGGCTGCTCCTGTGGTGGGGGGGAAACAGGAGGACGGTGGCAAGTGTTCACTGATACACAGACACATCTCCAAGGATGTCACAAGCCTTTGATGCTCTCGGATGGATCAGCATTAGGCCCTGAAGCTTTTATTTCCCTTGTACAGACTCCTGGCTGCTGTTACAGACAACTCTGTAGAGTATTAATGTATTCACATTTCAGTTTTAGCTTAGGGCTGTGTTTTGTTATGCAGCACTGGTGTAATGTCAGATTGCTGCCATCTTGCCAAGCACAAATCTGCTGGTTTTCAAAACCAGTGGTGGAGGCAGTCACAGGGTAAAGTTCTGAACTTACTCCATAACTGCAGTGGTAAATAACATCTTGTCTCTCTGATGCAAAATTCATATCATACAGTGCTGAAGACCTAAATGCAACCCATTTTGCCAGGAGTGTCCCTTCTCTGGGGATATTTAGCTGGATAACTTGCAGCTACTGTAAGAGAGCCTGTCCCCCAGCTGATGTAAATCTGTGGTTTTTGGGGCCAGTCCTGTGTGGTTACACCTGGCTGTAGTCAAGGTAATTGCACATCACTGAATTGTTCTGTTGTCCACACAGAGACTTGTCCCGTGATTGGTCTCAGAGTGTTTCTTTAGCCTAATTCTGGTATTATTCTGCAGCAAAAAAGAGCAAAATTGAAGCAAAATGGGCCAATGGTACGGCAAGAGCCTTGTTTATCCAACGCTCTCCATTATGACTACTGAGAGTAGGTCCAGCTTGCTGTATTTTCTCACATTAGCATGCAAGGTTATTAAATTAGCCTAATAAACACTAGTGTTAATGCAATAAAAGGAAAAGTCTCACTTTACTGCATTAATCAATACAAGGGGAGCTGTAATACACTGAGCCAGTTTGGCAGGGAACACCGAGTCTGCAAAAGCAACTCACAATACAATGTGATTATAATAGATTAAAAATTACAAATGACAAATCACAGTCCTAATGGAGTCTGAGAAAACCTGTCAGAGGTTGGAAGGGGAAGAAAGGCTTTTGGACATTTCTGGAACATTTCAGTGCTTACAGGCTAGATCCTGTCAACATATGTGTCCACACTAGAGTATTTGACATACAGGATGCTGGAAGAATGGTCCTGTGACTGGGATCTGCAATGCTGCAAGGCAGAATACAAAATTACACGAGATTCATGTAAGTGTTTCGCTTGCAGCAGCTCAGATTCAGGTTTTGGTCCATTCCTGCACTGAAAAATGAAGTTCCAACCACCAGAACTCTGTTAAGAGAAGTAAAAGTCAAAATATTTCTCATTTTTTTGAAGTGTCAATGACTAAACAACAATCTTTCTGTCGAAGGACTGGAGAAGAATAAAAGCTAGGACATAAATATAAATATCACATAAATAGGCAATTATTTTGCTCATTTTTGGGAGAGATTTATTTATTTCTCTCCTAGAGGATGGGAAAATTATATCATGAACTCCAAGATATTTGTCCTTTTCCATTCTTTGAGAAGGAGGAAGTTCTTACAAAGCAACATCACCAGTCAAACTAGGAGGGCAGAGAAACTCAACCTACTTGAAGGAGAAGCATATTCAGGAGTAGATTTCCTTGGAGGTCCCCATCCTCTCATGTTGTACGCTGAAACATGGACATAATACCTCTGGCCCTGCAAATGGAAAACAGCTGGAGTCAGAACTATCACTGAATTCAAAACCTTGGCTGTAATAAGTGCAAAACAGCCCCTCAAGTAGGTATTTTCTTTGAGAGACTTAAATAGGTTTAGTAACTTAAATGCACCATGACAGATTGAAACAGCAAAGATTCGAGGGCAGATGATCTGCTCGGGGTTATCAGAACACAACAATCCCAGCTGACAAAACCACAGTCTCTTGTGCCAAATCTGAACCCTGGGAATTCTGACAATCAGACTTGAGAGCAGGAACTCCCCTTTCCCCTTTTGTATTTAACAGAGCCTTCTCTGCCAGCGCAACAATGGAAGAAGCTTCATTTGGCTGCCACTAAAATCAGTCAGACCTTTATCACTGATTTGGATGCATAAATCTAGGCCAGTGGAGAGCACTTCTGGAGGCTTAACTTTCAATTTAAATATGTTACCTACTTTGGAGAGTATAGACAAGCATATGATAGGCACTGATCTTAACATGTACCTCTGGAAGTGGCTGTGCAGGCTGCCTTGATTTTAACTTAAGTGCAATTACTCTGTTTGGTTGCTAGAAAATGAGAAACAGAGAGTAAATGCATATTGTGGCTCAGCTCCCTTCTGGGTTGGCCCCTCTGGTGCTGTTTCTGGTGGGAATACTTGCATTTTGAGAGGCTTTGTTTTCATCAAGTATTTTGGGAATCAAAATTCATTTGTACAAATGGCACTGAAAGTAGGAAAAAGACTTTCAGACACATGGTCAAAATGATTCTGCTTAAGAATCCATACCAATAGTCATCAATTTTCTCCATGGCTCACCCAGCTCTGATCAGTATAAAACAGATATACAAAGATAAATAACAAAAATTAAAATGATTTCCACCAACATGTGTCTTCCCTGAAAAGGAGAAGAGGAAGAGTTGTTATTTTAGGTATTGGTCATCAGAATCAGGACTAGACCTCTCAAGAGCTTTTTATCTGCATTAAGGTTATCCCTTGATCCAGAAAACAGCAGCTTTCACTCCAGTCTTTTCTGATTTCCCCTGTCAGTGATAACTCATGGAATGGTTCATGCTGAACTGTCTATTCCTTTGTCACTTTTGGATTATGGATACCAGACATATTTTGCTTAATCACTGGAATGTGTTGATCCAAGAAAGGCACTGCAATGATTACCAACAGACAGGGATGCAAAATTATCCACCTTTGAATCACTGGGGCTGTCAAGGCACTTACTGTTCTGAGACCAGTGATGGAGCACCTCAAAGACTGAAGATTATCCAAGATTATTTCACCAGCCAAAGGAGAAAAGTCTTCTGAAGAGCTCCATTCCACTAGGAAACAAATGGCAGGAGAAAATCAATTCAGATACCAGTGCAAGCAAAGAAGTCAAAGTACCCGAGTCACTCACAGGTTAGCTTTCTCTCCTGGCAGTTTCCCAGTCCATGTGGATACTAAAAGTCGTGTTTAATGTTTAGCAAAACTTTACACAGTAGTTAAATTATATCTCTGTGTATGGGAGACAAAAGCAAAATATTGTCCAAAAGCTTTTCAGGAAAGAATGCTTAGAAATAGACTGCAATACAAATTACCTGCAACCAACATTTGCCCTCACTTAAACTATTTCCTTTTAAAGAAAGAGAAGTAGTGCAAAAGAGAAGGTAGAAGACTTGGGCCTGTTAATGCCATTTGGCAATTTATACACCCAAACCAACAAAAAGCACTGGTTTGCATTGGATCTGCATGGGCAGAGAATTCTTTTTGCTCCACAGGTCCACAAAACTTTCATCACCTCTGCTTGGCTAATTTGGATAGAAAAATCCTCCTTGGACTAGACCTGACACTCACTGGAGCCTCAGCTTTGGTTTCAGTGGGTTCTGGCTCTGCTGTCCAGGCCTGATGTTCCTGTGGTCACTGAAATTACACAGCTCCACAAGGACCAATTAAGCTGTGTCCACTTTTGGAGGGAATTAAGAGGTGCTGGGCTGACAGATCCCTCCCATCTGCCCTGCAGCCTGAATTACAATGGGCACCTTCACCAAAGTGCTCCTGTCACTCCTACTCCTCCTCCAGGGTTTATGGAATTAGTGGTCCTGCTCTCTGTGCTCTTCCTCAGTACTTGCAAAAATTATTGTGCACATAAAACAGTATCAGAACATGAGAAACTCTTGGATGATTGGAAAAAATAAAGAATATATGCAAGTGGGGAACTGATGGCTGCAGGTGGAAAACCAGCCTTTTTTGTTAAATTATTCTTTATTAATGACAGATGCCATGATTAGAGGTAAGGTTGATCCTGGAGTGACACCTCTGGGATTTAGTGACTTGTATCTTCAGAGCCAAACTTCCAGGAAAACCTGTCAAAACCTTTGTGAAATTAATCTCTTGAATTATTCTGCAGTAGGAATTGGGAGATCTCATTAATATCCTGGATTTACACCAAAGCAGAGAATTCAACACAAAGATTTCCTTTTAAGATTTACAGAATAATTCTTGGATACTCTATTTGCATATTCATTGGTATTGGAGTCAATAATTTAGAATAGATCAGAGGATATAGGTATTCTAATTTCAACATGGGGAATTTTCATCTTCTGGCAGTGTCATACTAGTATTTTCATATTAAAAGAAAACTGCTTGAGAGAATTTTCTGCTCAGCATATACAGCATTTAACTGCCAACACATTCTTTCCAAAATAGCCAAGTATCAATAGCACAACTCATTTTTCCCTTCTCCCCTAGTAGCTCCTTGTCTGTGATTGCAGTTTGTGAATGCCCAGCATGATCTGCAACATTTTTGTGTTTGCTGCAATGAAAAGAATATTGGTTTTGTCTATTGTCTTTCAACTTTTTTCACTGTGTATTTCTTTAGTTTTCCATGGGCTTTAAATAGCTAATTGCTGCCACCTTTAGTGGCAGCTATCTCTGTACATTGATACGAAAATATAGAGACTGTTATGGTACCATACTGCAGGGTTTTGTTGACAACCTAATTATAGGAATACTTTTATGTAACATTGAATTTGGTTACCTGTCAGAGTTTCCATTGTAAACCGTGATTTTCAGGGTTTCAAACTCCACTTGCAGTAAATCACTGCAGACACTCTACACATGCTGCAAACTTAGACATGTTTTCTGTTTTCCAGAAGGATAAACCAGAAGGAGAAACCCTGTTCAAACTGCTGAACATGACAACAGCTCGGAGTCACTTCCCTCACCACTTTTCTTATCAAAGATTCGTGTTGGGCGAGACAGAGTCACTTGAGAGAGATTCTGCCAACAAATCCTGCCTTCATTGGAATCCCCAGGCACACCTGAGTGTCCCACTCCACGTGAGGGGCAGTGGGAGGGTCACACTTCAGGCAGCACAAAACAAAAGCCAAGGATGAAAGAAGTGGCTTTAAGCTGCTTCTGAGCTTCCCAAATTTGTACCTGTTCTATGGACTGGAGACTGCCCAAACATGAGCTGGTAGTTCAAGAGGCATATTTAAATTTGGGAGGCTTTCACAAATGAACGTTGCAGCCCTGTTCTTGATGTGGGTCTGCTTCTCAACCCTTCCACTTGATTAGGCATTTAGAGAGGGCTCCAGTGTTTAGGGATCCTGACACACTGCCTGAGGAGGAGTTAACTCACCTAAACAGGATTGCAAACATGTGACCAGCTGGAACACCAGGATACTGGTATTGGGACTACCAACAGCATGGCAGCCTGTTCTCAGAAATAATCAAGGACCACTGAGTTCAGAGAGAGCAGCTGAGCTTCCAAGGGGAGAACAGGCAGACTCAGCTCTAAAGCCACCTCGGGGACAGCGGGGAGGGGGGTTTGTGATGGTAAATCCCAAATCTGCTCTGATGTTCCAGGCCAAACTGCTGCCCCAACTCATGTTGGTAGTGAACCCCCACGTGCAGGGTGAGTGCCCTCACCCCCTTGCTGGGTGACACCCATCTCCTGGTCCTTTGAAGGAAAACTTCTCCCTGCTTCTCCTGTCCCAGGTGCTGCGGGTGCCACCCCTGTGGGTGCCCCCCGACCCCCTCACCCAGCCCAGCCTTCCCTGGCTGCCCAGCTGTGCTTCTCATTACACAGCCAGGACTGCCAGCATTTTGCACTCACTTTATTTTAGCTTACCCTGTGGTGGCTGAGACCCCTGGAACTGAAAACACAGGAATACGATTTTAGCCTGTGGATCAGGTTATGGTTATCATTATGATTGAGAACCCCCCCTTTTAAAGGATATTTACCTAACAAGATGGTGTATCCAAAGTTACTCAAAACTTAATTTTCAAATATATTTATTTAAAAACCTCACTTTTGGAAAAAAACCCGTCCCCCAGTTTCAATAAAAATTTCCATAACTGAAAAATAAATATTTTTTCAACAGCTGTGTTGGAATAGTGCCTTCTTTTTCCCCTCATTTCAAAGTATATCTGTTGTAAAGAAACTCATAACAAATTCTGGAATTTTTTTGCTTACTTTTGATTTTAACAAACTTTATTCCCCCCGTGATTTTTAATGATTCAAGTGAGAAGAAGATGACATGATATAGGTTTAAAGAAATGAAAATCAGCTGAAGTAATTTATCACTTAAGTTTATATCTCCTGCTGTGCATTGACAGATTTCAGCTTTCTGCCATAATGGCCATCTAAAAATAATACATAATATTCTGCTGTACTCGTTCCCTGGGTTATAAAGGTCTTAGAAGGATGTGGATACCACTGTTCCTATTCTAGAGATGGGAAAATGAAGGAAGCAGAGGTGGAGCATCTTCTAGGCCCCAAAACAAGGGGCAAAATCCCATGACCTCTGTTTGCATGTTTTAGGCCAGTGTTGCCCCCACTCCCACTTTGGCTCTGTGGGATATATAAAGATATTCCTGGTACCAATACCAAGCCCCACATAAATGGTCTTGCGGTTAACCTGGATCTGAAAATGAGATAATTTGTGCATAGCAACCCATCAGGAAGATTTAGCTACTTCTTTGCCCTCTTTGTGGGAGCGCTGGGAGACAGCTCTGGCAGCAAACAGGAATCACCAACCATTTGTGTCACGCTGAAGGACTTGGGACTTTAAGAGAGAACAAAAGGCTGCCTCACCTCAGCACGTAAATGCTGAATATAAACACGCTCGAGTGGAGAAACCCGAGGATGAAGAGGGTCCTTTATAAGAGCCCAGGAACAGGAGCTGGTCTTGTAGACTGCACCAACTGTGCTGTAAAGGACCTGAAAGCTGTTGGGTGAATTAAGGATGGAGCATGTTCCAGTCCTGTTCTGAACACCCCAAAGGGCTGCTTTGTTGTGAACGCTGAATGTCTTTGCTGTTGCGGCTTTCCATCTGACACTTCATGTTATGTCAGAGCAGGGGTTTTTTGTGTGTTTAATATATTGGTGACTATGTGTTTTAATGAAGGTGCCCTGTATTCCAGAGCTAGCAAATGCACGATGTGTTGCTGCGGTCGCCAAGATAAGTAGTAATTTTTAAATAAACAGCAGTATAAACAGTTACATAAAACTCATGTAAATTGCTGGCACATAATTTTAGACTGGCTTAAGTTATGTAACTCACTTCTGGCCAAGTTTTTTTTTTTTTTTTCTTTTTTAATACTCAATTCAGGCAGTTTAAAATAAAGGGAGAGGTTTATTTTCACCTGTTTCTTTCCCACTCACTATCTTTCTGTTGTACTGAGCACGTCATAAACAGCTTAATAGAGAGATGGACGGACAGACAAAAGGCAAAGGGAAGGCACAAAACACCTCCTGACCCTATTGTGGATTTATTCAGGAAAACACCTTCTCCTGAGTCAAGTAAATAGCCCAGCCACAGTAGAATTTGTCACTTCTCTTGATGTTTGTTTTTGCTCACACTTAAATCACTCACTGAATTGCTGAGTAGATCAGTTAGACCAGGGGACATGAGCTCTGTTGCTACTTGTTGTGGTCTACAGAACAGTGTATGGAGTTGGGATTCTGGGTTCTGTTCTTGCATTCTGACTTGCTGTGTGACCTTGGGCAAAGAATGATGCCACTGTGGCTTTTAACACAGGCTAAAGTAGCAAAGATTCTGTCTCCTTCCTCTCCTCCCCCTGTCCAGGCCCTGGGCTGAAGGATAAGGTGATCTTGGTTTGTGTTTCCAAGGGCCTCCAAACAGATAATTCTGTTGTTCATGAGCTGCCTTTGAAATGTAAAACTGAAAGAGGGGCACCACCAGAAACCACTTCACACCAACCTTTTCTGCCTGATGATCTTTAAGAAATAATTTTAATAGTTGACACTCATGATGTCTTAGCAGCTGGATTTAAGGACATTAAACACGGGCATTTGTGTGCATAAAATCAGGGT